CATGCCGCTGCGATAGAAGACGAAGACCGTGTCTTACGTTCACCGCTCATGCAAACGGACTGCGCCGTGGACCGTGAGTTGACGCGACACACAGGGAGTGCCGGAAAACGTTTGCGACGGTGAGTAACGCACCCTCCTAACCACTTGCTGCCCGATCCTTCATGGTATCGTGTCGACTAGGGCCATCTCTGCGCACAATCTTCTTGATCATGTCGGGGATGCTGTCGACCTCGTTAGATGTGTGGATGACCAGAGCGTACCGAGACGCAGGTGAGATGTTGACTACGTGGATACTACAAATGACGAGGCGTGCGACGAGAGACGGCCAAGACCGATTGCAACCGTCGTTCACGCTCACCCGTGTCGCACTCGGGCTGGACATGCCCTCATGCGCTCCTCGCCGTCCTGCTGTCCATGGCTTTGGACTGCGAAGCAAGGCATGGGCACTGATCACGACTGTGACCGTCGCGCTGACAATCCTACAGACAGCATGATCAAAGAAGTGCGCAAGAGAAACGGGGGGATGACCTACCGCATGCCAAAGCCATCATTTCACGCAGTCTCCTTCGCCAGAACACACGCAGGACTGGCGCTTTCACGACAGGGCTTGAGGCTGTGAGCGTCGCATCCCCCCATCCATTGTCGTTGTCCCATAGGCATCCTGTATCCAGCGTGCCACTATCCAGCGACCGGTTGGAGATCACACCTGACCGTCTCTAAAATACCTGCATCCGATGCTGTCTGATGCAACTGGGCTATTCCGGCGCACTTCAAGCGATATTTGAGCAACAGAAGCTGCGACGGTGGACTCGCAGGCCGCAGAGGCCGACCATGACCTGCCGCAGACGGTAGATCGACCTAGGAGAGCGTCTCGCGTTTCGCGTGTGGTATAGAGGTCCGAGCTGGGTTTTGATGACCGCGTTCTCTGACATTCACTTTAGGTTGCTGTAGGCCACCATGTCAACTGCCGTGCGAGATCTGGGATTAGTCCCAACAACTTACCTTGTTCGTTAAAGCCCCGCATCCAGCGCAACAGTTTCGATATCGACCGTGAGCTTGATCCATCGGAAGGCGCCGCTTGACATGGGTAGTGAGTGACAATCCGACGGTCCGATCTCAAATGAACGTGCTCACGTTTTTTTGACCACAGCACAGGCTTGAGCCTATTCACATGGAGGAAGGTGGTCTGAACGCGAAGTTCGTCGTTTCCTGCACCTTGGCCATTGTTGGGCGAAAAGCGAACGGAGGATGAGAGTCCGAGGCGACGCGCGATGAGAGACGAAAGTGAGAATGCGTACCACGAAAGTGGCGCCTCGGACGCACCTTGATGCGCACGCGCGACTTTGCCAACAAACGGCAGCAGTTAACGCGCCTTGGATGCGTTCCACTCGCACGCGGCGATGATTGTGACCGGCTTGTGACGTTTCGCTGCTACGCAAATGGCTCGGTCAGTTCCGCGCGCACGCGCTCATCGACAACGGTGTACGCATCTTGTATTTGGTCTGACTATGTTGTCAAGCCTTGGAAGTTACGGTCAAGGTGAGTCGCGCTCAGACAGTCTAGACAAAGAATGCTTCATACCATATAATGCACAGCGTGTGGAAGGAGCAAGGC